TTCTCCTCATCTTCATCAGATCACCAAAGAAAGCGTTGTGCGCTAGGGGAGCGTTTGGCTTTGTGGGGTTCGAGGCTCCGATGAAGTTCTGAAGCTTACGATCGCTCTTCGACAGCTCCAAGAATAGCGAACCAGCCGCTTGGATAATCTGTCCGGGGGTCCATGGGTCTTTCAATGCACCCCCCTCGATGACAGTGCGCATTTGCACAGTCACGGGCGTGATTGCAAACCAAAGCTCGCGTGGAAACGCCTACGGACAAGGCAACGATTGCCGACGTCCATGCGGTATGTGAGCGATAACTCATGGCACTGCGTTTGCCGACGTGGGAGGGTGGAGCGACGTTTTGCACATGGCCATATTGCAATCGAGCGCGTGTTTATAAGTACTGCGTAGATGTATGCATACTTCGTCACTTCCTAGACTTCTTCACTGCGGGCGCAGGCGCATCCTCAGCCTTGCGCTTTGGCATGAGCGATGCCAGCGGTGCGATTGGCGCGTCTCCCTTCGCGACGTCGCTTGTGTTGGTCAGCACCTGCACAGACGCAGACGGTATCACATCGGACTTCATGGTCACGACCTTCATGTTTGCATTGGGTTTGGGGGTCGACTTCTGCGCGAACCAAAATGGAATGACTAAGGAGCCAGGGGCCTTTGCCAGCCCCCCTTACACCCGTATTCGCTTGCACCTTGGGCATCTTCATGCCACCAGTGGGGAGCAACGCGATGTTGAACATGGTGCCTTTGCGGTCCTTGTACGACTTCACAAACACGCTCCCGTTTGGTGAGTCTTCGTTGGATTTCTTCATGGCGATGCTCGCAGTGAGTGGGGCAAGCACTATCTCTCTTGCTTTGAATGCACGCGTGGTAGTGATAGACCGATACTTACCAGGCGATGTTACGCCAGTGATGCCCTTCAAGCAATCTGAATGCTGGGCGTGCATGTCGTCCAAGGCGATTCTGATTTTCGCCTCCTCAACTGACCGCTGCCAGTCGGCGCTCATCATGGGGCCTTGGTCAGCAAACTTTTCGATTATTTCCGTGGACGGATGGTGGTGGGGGGGGGGGGGGGGCATGCGAGAGGCATAGCACTGGATGGGCGAATGGATTGTTAAAAATACATAGAGCGGGGGACACATAGACAGGGAGCGAGCGGGGGAGAGGGATGGGGAGAATGATATATGTATAGAGATGGATATACAGATGAAATAGAGGACGGGTATATATATGTGTATAGAGAGAGGTGTCGTCAAAACAATTGAAGGTCGGGTTGCGACGAGATCGCATGTTGCCCTAACTGTTTTTAGTCGTGCTCAAGACGTACCTCCCATTTAGCACCTCGTCAATGCTCTCAACCACTTGTCTTACCCCCGACCATCAACTTCACACCCTTCGCATCGACCCCAACGAACTCGAACGCGCTGTCCCTGTCGTCACCCTTCGCCAAGCAGAGCTTTGCTTTCGACACGAAGCCTCTCTCCGACAACTTATCTGCCTGGTTGGACCATGCGCCTGTCGCAGTATACCCCTTTCACACCCGAGCTTGTAGCCGTTTTGGGCGCTGCTGCAGGGGCGGCCTTGACCCCCCATGGGCTTTCCACTGGTTTGCCAACATGCGTTGCCAACGCAGTACAGAAGCTGGCGCCAGTATCTGGCAACGTTTTGGCGCTGCCCAATCGTTCATCTGGTTTGTTGAATACGAAGTGCACGACACGAACATCAGTCAACCCTACGATGGTGCCGTATGCGAGCGTGTCTGGCGTGACGCCTTGGTTTTTTGCGATCTCTCGCACCTTCTGCAAGAACTCATCCGCACGCAGAACAATTGTAGCCTTCTTGTCACCAGACAGCGCGGACACGCCACCTGGCCTTAAGAGCATCGGATGGCCGTTCCTGGCGTACTTGCCACTCGCGGCCGTCATGGCTTTCACGCATGCGAGTTTGGATGTCACCGCAGCCCCCTCGTTTTTGATCTTCACTTCGGCGAGGCTCTTCGCCGTGGCGCCTGTGACCACGCACTGGGCAGTTAAGTGCCGTGAGAAGTCCCGCAATTCGTCGAGGAAAATCGGCTCGCCCAAACCACCCGACATCTCTTTCACATACGTCACCAATCCGTCGATTTCCCCAGAGAAGAGGGATGCCGCGCGAGTCGCTTCTTGAACGACCCTTGGCAAATCCATATAGCCTCCTTGGTTAGCCAAACGGTTCGCAATGGATGCGATCTTGAATTTCAGGCTCAATCGGGACTCACAACGTGCGATCTGTTGCCCCGCATTGCCTGCTTCCTGGGCAAGGTTTGAAATCCAAGGGAACGCTCTGACAAATTCATACCGAAAGACCTTCCATTCAATGCCCTCATCGCAAGCCTTTGCGTAGTCGGGCTGCGCTTCCCTCAACCTCTTCATTGAAAGAAACCCATCTTGTGGAATCCTGTCGAATCGTTCTGGATCATTCTGCGGCACGGGAACTTCTGCATATAAACAACGCAACCCCATGCTCGTATGTCCACGCGTGTAGCTTGCGAATTTAGCTTCGCATTCATATAAAGGCATTTGGCCAGCAGAATCTTTCATTCTCTTATCGTTGAACGCTTTGACCTTCTCATATTCCGCCGAGCCCGTTTGCAATTCCATGCGCGCTGGATTTTGAAGGGCCGAGTTCTTGAAACCGTTCCTGAATATTTTTACGATAAGATCTAGCACATCGCTCGGGACAGCCCCATCCCCATACCTGCTTTCCATGCACACGAACATGCATGTGCTATGGATCCTCTCGATCCTGATGCAATCGATGACAGGCCGCTGCGCTATGGCGCATACCTCTTCGAACAAAGAAACAACGGGGGCGTCTGGCTGCTCATACGCAGCCTTGATTGCATGCATCTCCCCAACAACATTCTGTATGTTCAGTTCACGCTTGGAGGTCATGACGCCTCGCGCGGAAACCACCTCTGTTGAGCCAAAAGCCTATACGGTGCATGCATATATATATATATATATATATATGCAAATGAACATTGCAATCTTGCAATAGCACCCTTCGAAATTCACGAATGAATTGCACCGATCGCACTCGCATGGGGGGAGTCAGGCAACACTCTAGCAACGCCATGCCGAAAAACGAATAGCAACATTGAAAAAAAACTAAACACCAGGGAAACCAGCCTACACGTCATCGTTTTTTCCAACACATGTTAAAAGTTTGCAGAGTTGCTAACTTTTCTAACTCCGCGTAACTATACTTAAATAGAGGGACCAAGTTAGCGAAGTTAGTAAGTTCATAACCTAGTTATAACAAATTATACTTACTGATAACAGACTTATAACATAGTTATCACATGGTTATAACTCACGGTAACAATTATTAACCACGCCGATCCTTTAGGTCGGGCCCCGGAGCCCACCTCCCCTCTTCCCGGGCCCCTCCTCTTCGGCGCGCACCCGGCTCTGCGTGCGCCTGCCTGTTACTCTCAGGAGGGAAAGAAGCACACAGACACAATGAATCGACGATTCCCCAGGAAATGTGGGAAAATGTGAGGAGGGGGGGGGTTCGAACCGGTAGTGACCCCCCCCCGTTTTCTGAGGGGGGGTATAGGGGAGGGGTTCGAACCGGTAGTGACCCTCCTCTGGTTTTCTGGGGGGGGGGAGGGGTTCGAACTGGTAGTGACCCCCCCCCGGTTTTCCGGAGGGGGGGGCGGGGGGGCGTGTTCGAATTGGTAGTGGCCCCCCTGGTTTTCCGGAGACGGGGGGGGGGGGTAGGGGATGGGGAGGGCTTCGTCGGGGGAGACGGGGGGGGGAGGGTTCCAGCAGGGGTGGGGGGATTTTCGGAGGGGAGGGGGGGGGGACCCCGTAAAGGCGCGCGAACGCCCCAGGGGTCCGTTCCCGTTCCAGTTCCCGTTCCCGTTCCCGTTCCCGTTCCCGTTCCTGCCGCCCGTGCCACTTCCAGAGGATAGAAGGGGAGCAGGGAGGGAGGGAGATGGGAGGAGGGAGGAGGAGGGAGGGAGGGACAGAGGGAGGGAGGAGGGGGAGGCGGGGGAGGGAATTGTCCACAGTAAAGCGGCGGTGGATCGCGCTCTCTCTCTCTCTCTCTCTCTCTCGATTTTCGCGATCACGGGGCCCCAGGACCGCCCGCAAAGCGGCTCGGGAGGGGCAGCCGGTCCCGGGGAAGGCGTCGAGACCTCGGGGCCTCGCCGCGGGGAAAAAAAAATCACAACGTCGGGGGCCAGCCCCCTCCCCCCCCCTCCCCCCGGGCGACCGCGGCGAGAGCCCCACGGATGGCTCCGCGCGCGGCGCGGCCGAGTGGAGGGGCCCCGCCGCTCGAGAGCCTCCGGGCGCAGGGCCCCCATCGGGGCACGAGAGGAGCACGGCAGGCCCCGCGAGGCCGGCGAGCTCCACTCTCTCTCGTGCCCGGGCGGGGTGGCCCGGCCTGCGGGCCCTGATCTGCCTCGAGGGCCCTCGCCAGGCCCATGGAGCCGTCAGAGGATTGCTCGGGCTCATAAAACTCAAGTCGGGCCTGTCCCCCTGCAGGGGGATTGTCGACGAAAAATCAAAAGACCCTAACAATAATCAACACATAATCCAAAAATAGTCTGGGGACTTTTTTTTTTTTTTTACCATTTTGGGGCATTCGTAAGTTGTTGTTTCAATAATTTTTCGTCGAAAATCCCCCTGTAGGGGGACACGCCCGACTTAATCATAGACTGGTCCCGAGGAATGAGTCGAGACCTCTGGGAGTCCACGTCGTAAAGGAAATTCCCCCGATCACGGAACACGATGCGGTAGCATCAGCTTGCGCGCTTGGGTGCGGCTCCCCTTCAGCCGCGCATGGAAGGTCATTATTGCCTGGGGTCACTCTTGCGCACAGCCGCTCAAGAGCCTTCCAATATTGCCCCACGCTAAGCTGGCCCTTTCTTTGGAGCGGCGCGAAGGGCGTCCAGATAGCCGCACGGCGCGCATCGCGGGGAGCGGTTCGCGAAGTTGGGTGGCCCAGGGGCCCGCGAGAGGTGCTGATGGCCATGGGCATGGATCGCATCGAGATGCTGCTGCCCGACATCTTGGCGAACGCCAGGAACCAGGACGCCGCCCCTGAGGCGCCCACTTGGGCCGGCCCGGCGGCGGCGCGCGCGGGGGATGCGAGGGGGGGTCACCATGGGCTACTCGAGCTTGGAGAGAAGCGATCTGGCGAGAGAAGTGTCAACGGGGTCAACCAGGTCTAGGAAGAGTGTTCCGGAACCCAGAGCGTTCTGGAACGCTCTGGAACGAAAAATCCCGCCGCGGGGCGCCGGTCTTTCCCAAGCAGTCAGCCCAGCGCAAGCGGCGATCTAGTTGCAAAACAACGTTGGCACGGACATGTCGCATGAGGATGAGCAGTTTCCCAAGGCTACCCTTGTATCTTTGCCCCTTCGGCCCATTCGTGGCGACGTTCGCTGGCCAACCCCGTTCGAAAACACCAGCATGGCCCTCCAAAGCCCTTGCATCCTTACCGCACATCTTTTTGATGCAACTTGACTGTAGGTTTATGTCGGGCCTTTCCCCCCACAGGGGGATTTTCGACGAAAAATAAAACATACCCCAAAGAATACACCAAAAGGTCAACCAAATAAGCAAAACATAGTCCCTAGACTATTTTTGTATCATTTTTGGATTATGTTTGGGTTTTTTCCGCCGACAATCCCCCTGTATGGGGGACACGCCCGACATAACTGTAGGTCGTGGAGCGCTGGCAGGCCGTGGGGTTCGGAGGCCAGTGCAAAGAAAGCCGCCGCGGGCGCTGGTTCTTCGGTATGGAACCTGGCCGCAGTGCGTGGCGATGTGTTGCAAAAGAACGGTGTGCCCCTTCTGTCACCAGCCTCGAACTTATCCCTATCCCTGAGATTGACACACCAAAAGGGGATGCCAATCTTAGGGATGCACCCTCAGAAACTGAGGTAATCCCTAAGATCGCCATCGTGATGAGGCGATGCCGAACATAGGGATAGGGATATGTTCCAGGCTGGTAATCTTGTGTGGGTCGCAGTTCGGGTCGCGCGTGGGTCGTGGGCGGTTCGCCAGAGAGTCGCTGATGAGTCGCGGGGTTGGTCGCAGGCGGGCCGCGGATGGGTCGCAGGGCGGGCGACAAGGACAGCCACGAGAAACGATCAGTCCAAGACCGTTCGCTAGCCATTGACCGCGTGTCACTCAATATGCATTCCCCGAACCCTCGAAAACCATACTCTTCCTGCATGAGGAGCGTGTCCCTTATCGGGGGCTCCATTTTTCCATGCCAGCCCTTGGGTAAACTGCGACTCCCGGCAGCTTAACGCAAGCCTCTCGAGCGGGCGGACCCGAACGGGTGCGTGGGGCCGGTCGGGCGGGCAGGACATTGAAGCGGGCTGCTTATATGGCTTGCAGCCAGGCGACCCGGCGGGCCCTCACGGGCGGGTCGGGCAGCGGACTTCACCAGGCGTGGCGAGAGGGCGGAGCTTTGCAGCAGGCGGGCAGGCTCCCGAGCCACCGACCCAGAGGACTACAACTTACCAGCCTCGAACGTATCCCTATCCCGAAGATTGACACGCCAAAAGGCGACGACAATCTTAGGGATTCGCCCTCAAAGAATCAGGGAATCCCTAAGGTTGGCATCGTGATGAGAAGGTGCCCAGCACAGGGATAGGGATATGTTCCAGGCTGGTCAATAACGGGCGGGCCGCGGTGGCGCACCCTGTCGGGCGGGCCGAGTGTCAGGAGGGGAGAAAACACACAGACACAATTATAATCGTCGATTCCCAGAAAATATGAGAAAATATGGGCAGTGGGGGGGAAGACGAAAACCCAGAAAATATGGGAAAATATGGGGGATACCTTTTTTTTTTGTGTGTATTTATTTGTGTGTTCCAGTTTCCCTTCAGAGTGGGCGGGGCACGAGGCGCGGGCCGGCGGTGTCTGGGCAGTCGGCCCCGCGGAGCCTCGGAGGAAGGGCGTCGTCGAGCGGGCCCAGACGGGCGGCGTCGAGCGGCCGGGCCCCGAGCTGCAGACGGGAGGGCCTCGAAGCAATCGTGCCAGCGGAGCCTGACCGGCGGGTCCGGCGGGCGGGCCCCGACGGGCGGGCCGGGTGGGGGGGGGGGGGCCCAGACGGGCGGTGGAGGCCCAGGGCGAGAGCACGGTTGCAGGGCGGCGAGCGTGCGAGAGCGGAGCGCCATTCCCGAAGGCGGTGCGAGGCAGGCTCTGCGAGGAGAACGGCGGGCGGGGGGAGGGGCAGAATGCCAGCGCGGAGAGCGAAGGGGAGGGCGAGTGGTCAATGGATGGAGGATTCCTCTTTTCGAACCGTACAGATTGGAGCCGTTTGGACTTCGAATCGGATCACACGCGAAGCTTCCCGATCTCGGGCGTCTTCCTCTTTCTCTTTCTCTTTCTCTTTCTCTTTCTGAACCGTCCTGAGCTTCAGCCTCGCGAATAAACTTGCCCAGCGCGGATACTCAGACGGTGGATGCGGTAATGCGGTGGGGTGGGGGGATTCTCCAAGAGTCTTGACGCCCGCATTCTATTTCACCAGTGAGGTGGGGTGGGATCCGAGTCCGGACACGTCTGAGTTCGCAAGCTGCTCAGGCAACGCGGAGCCGTGTGCACCTGTCGTTTCCTTGCTCTTTCCACTGGAGGCGCTACGTCGGGGATCCCGGCCACGTTCCCTGCCCGACCCCCCCAGTAGCGGGCCTCTCGGGGCCAGCAGTTCCCGACGCCAGTGCCGGGATCGAGAACGGAAGCGCAGGAAGAGATGACAAGCTTGTTGCGCGACAGGTGAGGGAGGGCTACCTCGGCCTCTTCGTGTACCTCCCGGTAGCGATGGGCGCTGGTTTCGAGCCTTACCTGGAGGAGGTGATGCAGACGCTGCTGAAAGGCATCGCGGACGATACCGGCTCGGTTCGCGACACCGGCTTCCAGGCAGCAAAGGTGTTGACCAAGCACTTCGGGGCTTCGCACACCGCTATTCTGCTGGGGCCGCTGCAGGATCCCGCCCCCATCCCCCCTGCAAGCCCCCAGATGTTCCAGATCGCCAAGCGTGCTTCCCGTACTGCATGTCAGAGCTGTAAGGCGTCGCGTCGGAGCCAGACTGCCACTTTCTGAGGAAGCTTGCTTTCGGGAACGAGCCTCGGGGACGGACGTACGCTCCCCTCAACCTCCTAACGACCATCCTCCTCGCTACCCGTTGGCCATCGAAAGCATAAGCTTGTGAACCAGCAGGTACCACCAGACGTTAGGCGCCTTTCTATTCCAACCCCACCTCGCGCTCGAGCTCTTGACGAGCGGCCTGGTGCTGCGACGAAAGCTCGAGCACTGGAAGAGCAAGTGCTGACCGTCGCCACTCTCGCGAGTGTGACTCGTCGCGCACTCGATCGAGGGCCCTCTTCGGGGCCTCCGCCCCCAGAGCTCAGGTTTTCCATGCGGGGTCCCCAGAAATCCCGACGCGTTCCCCGGGGCCGTCTTGTCATCCCGCGTCCTTCCTTGACGGTCCCGCGGCCCGGCGAGGGCCCCCTCGGAGGCCGAACACGGCCAGACAACGCCCGTTGTTTTGTTTCTCCACTACACGAGCATGTCTGCTTGGATGGCTGCGGGAGTTGCCTAAAGGGGTAGGGACATTTTCGAATGGTTCTGTCATGCTGACAAGGAGGTCCTTGATCGCAGGAATCGGGGGGGCGGGGACGTCCCAGACCCCCGCCATCACGGTGCCTAGCCTGGCTATGCTCGCGTGCATGTTCAGCCAGAAGTACGTGCACGGAGTCAACTAGTAGCAGCAGGGAGGTTATAAGCGGATGCCGCGGTGGATCTAGTTGGCCCAACGTGGCCTATGATTACGCGGATCTGGTCTAAGTGGGCTCCGCCCACTTACCGGAGTGATCGAACCCCATAAGCCACTCGGGGCATATGTAAGCCGCCAATCAGCCAGGATGGGCCAGATAGGACCACCTTGACATCCGCCGCTAGCCTCCCGATCCCATCACAGAGGAAGAACACATTCATAAACATAAGCTTCTGGAGCTCCGCACGGATTTCTTGGATCTGCGCTGGCCTCCCCCCCCCTCCCCGGCGCGGGAAGCCAGCCAGTGGCGGAACCGGAGGCGCCACCACAGTGGCCTCAGCGCCGATCCGTCCCGCGGAGCTCCGAAAGTTAAGGTTTCGGCAGATCCGCTTCTTCCCCTCAGCGGCCCCCGCGGTCATCCCAGTTGGGAAGAGGAGGAGGAGGAGGAGGCGGAGGCGGAGGAGGAGGAGGAGGCTTCTGTGGCCTCCGGGCTCGCTCCGCCCTGCTGGCTTCGCCTGCGCCGCCGCCTTCGCCGTTGGGGCCGCCATCCTCGCCGTCGGCCCCTGCGCTGGGACCTCGCGGCGGCGCGCACGAGGCTGACCTCCTCCTCCTCCTCCTTCTCCTCCTCCTCCTCCTCCTCCTCCTCCTCCTCCTCCTCCTCCTCCTCCAGAGTCACCTCCTGCTGCTCTCACACTCTGCAGGCGCAGCGTCGAAAGATCCCCAGCGATCCGGCGTGTCAACAAAAACCAGGGCGGAGGGGAGTCGCCGTTTGCAGCCTCCTTATAATATAAGAGGCCGTCGCTGGACCCCTTAAGGGCCGTCAAGCAGCGCTTCGGGCGGAGAGCCCGGTCCTGGGGGAGAGGGGCAGGGCTTCCGGGAGCCGCGTGCAGCGGGGGCCCATGTCAAGAAGCACCCCGCCTGCCTCCAGGGTGCCCCGGGTTCCCTGGGTTGCGATGCTTTTGGTGTGGCAGGCGTGGCGCTGGGGGTCTCAGGGTTGGGCCTCTTGTGGAGGGCTTCTTGTGGTCGGGCCCCCATTGTATTGCAGGACGTCGCACGTCTGGGGTCCGAGGCGCGTTCCAGGGTGGACGTGGGGTGCACGTGGCCGACTTGGGCGCGAAGGGCAGCGGGGGGGGAGGAGGGCGCGCGGGAGGAGGGGAGGAACATGCTCAGAGCATGCAGTCTATCAGCGTCAGTGCCGGAGTTCTTGCACAGCGGGGAGGTGGAAGTCCTGGTGCTGTGCTTGGGATTGGGCCCTCCCGCGGACACCAAGGCCACCGCGCGGGCCCACGATGCCCGGCGCTTCGATGCTGTTCGAGGCACGGGCCTCCGACATCTCGACTTCGACCACTTCCCCGGGACGGTTTTTTCATCCCGAGTCGCTCTTGCGACGGCTCCGACGAGGCCTGGTAATTAGGCGGATGCCCGCCGCTTTCGTGGGGCGTGCAGGGGGCGCGGCTCTCGGACAGTGCCCCGAGGGGGTCACCAGCGAGGAGCCACCACCTCCTCCCGGAAGTCGAAGGTCGAGGGGGAGGAGGCTACGTGGAGGATCGAGGAGGTCTGGGGGGTACGTCCCTGGGCGTCTGCCGTTGGGGGGAGGGTGGGCGATCCATCCACCCCGTCCGCTCGGCGGTCGCGAGCGTTCCGGGCACGCTGCTTGCTGCGAGGCGGGTCGTGTGCCTTTGGGAGGGGGGGGGGGCGCAGCTCTGGCGGTGCTAAGGTGGGTCACCACTGCAGGGGGGGTCACCGCCTCTTCCTGCACGGCGGGGGACGCGGAGGAGGGGGAGTCGAGGCTCTAGGAGGTTTCTTTGGCTGCCCCTGCCCTTGGGGACCCCTGGGGAGGAGGCAGCGCGCCCGGATCGAGGAGGCTTTTTGTTGACGTCGCGGGGCGTCCGTGGGCGGCCCTGGGGAGGAGGTGGCGACCGCCTCGGTGGCGACCCCTGCTTCCCTGAGAACCGACGTTGCGAAAAACTTGAAACATCCACAGCAAATCAGGGCCAGAGCCCAAGACCCCATCTTTCTGCAGCATTTTTCGAGCTGGGTTGATATGTGAGGGCCCAAGGGGTCCGAGAAAAGGCAAGATCGCCCGGCCCAGAACATCGAAACGCCGGGGTCTCGGGGGACGTCTCTGGGCGCCCCTGGGGGCCACGGGGGTCGCGACCCCTCAGAGCCCCGAATCATCAGGGGTAACTCGGGTCAGGGCTAACTCGTGTTCGTTTTTCGGGAATCCGACCCCGACTTACCCCGGACCCGAGTTACCCCGGATAATTCGGGCGTCCAGAGCCCCACATCATCAGGGGTAACTCGGGTCAGGGCTAACTCGGGTTCCTTTTTCGGGAATCCAAGCCCGAGTTACCCCGGATAACTCGGGCGCCCAAACCCCCTTGGTGGCGACCCTCCCCCGTGGGCTGCCCGGGCGGCCAGGCGGTCCTTCCGGCCCCCGCCCGCCCGGCGGTCGAGTTGCGGGGTGGATGTGGGACGCGAGGCCGCCGCCCGCGTCGCGCGCGGGCCCACTTCTGCTCGCGTGTCTCACGGATAGCTTCTTCCTGTCGCATCCTTCCTCGCCCTCCTCCCCCCCCCCTCCTCCTCCTCCTCCTCCTCCTCCTCCTCCTCCTCCTCCTCCTCCTCCTCCTCCTCCTCCTCCTCCTCCTCCCTCCTCTCCTCCTCCTCCTCCTCCTCCTCCTCCTCCTCCTCCTCCTCCTCCTCCTCCTCCTCCTCCTCCTCCTCCTCCTCCTCCTCCTCCTCCTCCTCCCCTCCTCCTCCTCCTCCTCCTCCTCCCCCCCCTCCTCCTCCTCCTCCTCCTCCTCCTCCTCCTCCTCCTCCTCCTCCTCCTCCTCCTCCTCCTCCTCATCCTCATCCTCCTCCTCCTCCTCCTCCTCCTCCTCCTCCTCCTCCTCCTCCTCCTCCTCCTCCCCCTCCTCCTTCTTCTCGCTCTCCAAGCGCGCCAGACGCTCCATCATGTCACGCTGCCCCGTTTCCATTGCCGACAGCTTCTCATCGGTAGCGTCGAGCCTGGACGTAAAAAAGCAGAGATGGCTCTCCACCTGCGCGTCGAACTTCTTGAAAGCAGGGCCAGCTTCAGCAGCCAATGCGCCAGGAAGATGAGTTTGAATCGAATTGAGGCAAACTGTGGACATCTCCCGCAGGCGCCGCTCCTGGAACTGGGCGAACAGCTCGTCATGGACAGAAGGCACTTCCTGGCGGAGCTGTTCGCGAAGTACGCCTGCCGCCCAGGGATCAGGTCCGCGCGTGCCTCCATCAACGCCTGTCCCCGCACGCACAGCACTCTCCGCGGTGGGCGAGCCAGGGACACTAGCATCAGGTGTGCCAGGAACATCACGAGCAGCAACACGCGCAGCAGGTCGCCCTGCTGAGGCGAGCTGTGCCGCCTGCCTCACAGCTCGTTGCACATCAGGCAGTGAGGGCGTTGAGTCCAAGCAGCAGCACGCGCAGCCGCCTCGCTCGCAGCAGCTTGCGCCATGCGCACGGCGGCCATCTCCCGAGACGGGAGCGTCGGGACGGCCTCCAGTGCTTCTTGAGTAGAGCGCCCAGGGCTGCGAGACCGCACCGAAGCACCAGGCGAGGCCAGGGCTGCCGCGGCAGCAGCAGCAGGAAGGCCATCATCAGGAGGAAGCCGACTGCGAGCTCCAGAGCGCGGTGGCGTGACGCAGTCCACCGCAGAAGCCGCGCGGCGGCGACGCGGGGTCTACTTGAGGCCCTTCTTGCGCCCATCCCGTCCCATAGCAGCGCGAGACAGAACTGGCATCGAAATCAGCGAGGGCAAGCGCTCGGCCCCAGCAGCGCACAGCTCGACTGGGGTTGCCTGAAACGGGAACTGGCTTCGGACTAGAGGTACCCACTTCTTGCCCGAGGGACAACAACAGCTTGAGAGCATAACAGCATGTCACCCGCAATGACCGAGGCGGTGTTTGTGCACGTGGTGATGCTATAAAGGGTGGTGGTGTGGAGGCGGGAGGGGATTCGGAACCTTCTGCGCACGTTCAAGCTTGCCAAGCGTTTTGCTGCGCTGCTGCGTCAGCCTGTTGAATGTGTCGCCGTTCCGTTATGGGCCCCAGCCACCCCTGAGGCTTGTGCAGAGCTCCTCCAGGGCTTGGGCACGTTTGAGCCGTCTTGGGGCGAGTTTCGTGCCGCGGGGAAAACCTTGCATTTATTTAGGGCGCGAGTTGGGGCCTGCAGCTGTTCCATCGGATGT